GTTCCAGATTCTAGATACTTTTATGGAAAATAAGTTTTTCCTAATGTCCAACCTACATTTTTCCTCAATTAGCTTGTGCCCATTGGTCCTTGTCCTCCTTGGGGGTGCCTTTCTGAAGAGTTGCTCCCCTAGATCTTGCTGTTCATCCTTGACATATTTGCAGGCGGCTATCAAGTCACCTCTAAGTCTTCTCTTGCTCAGATTGAAAAACCCAGTTACTGGAGTCTCTCTTCATAGGGCCTATCTTCTAGGCCCCTAATCATACAGGTGGCTCTTCTCTGTACCCTTTTGAGCTTATCCACATCCTTCCTGAAGTGCGATGCTCAGAACTGGACACATTACTCCAGATGTGGCCTCACCAATGCCTAATAGAGGGGGAGGAGCACCTCTCTGGATCTGTTCACAACACATTGGCTGATACAGGCCAGAGTTCTATTTGCCCTGCTGGTGACTTCATAGCACTGTTGACTCATATTCATCGTCTGGTCGACTGTCACCCCCAGGTCCCTTTCAGATGCAGTGCCAGCCAGTGGACCACCACCAATCATATAGTTGTGGTGAAAGTTCTTCCTACTCTGATGCAGGACCTGGTACTTGTCCCCATTAACCTCATCTGATTGCGTTCAGCCCATAGGACCCTATTCTCAGATATGCCTGCATTTCTCCACATCTTGATGTCATCTGCAAACTTAATCCTTGCACTTTCCACCCCTTCATCCAAGTCATTGATAAAGATGTTAAAGAGCATGAGCCAAAGCACTGATCCCTGGGGGACACCACTGGAGACAGCCATCCCATCGATTACAACTTCCTGGGATTGGCCTCTGAGCCAATTGTCAACTCGCCTCACTATAGATTGGTCTAGGCCAGTACCCTTCAGCTTTGTAACAGGGGGTTTTCCTGGGGCCAGTCTTCCATTGGCCAGCCTACCTTTTTCAGGGCCAACCACTTGCCTCCTCTCCTGCCATGCCTTGATGATACATAATTATTTTGTTAATTAGGCAGGAGGCTGCCCATTCTAGCCCCGATGCCAGGGGGCACTATCTGCGGCTCCATTCTTCCCCTACACTGCAGCCCAAGCCTCACAGGTGGCATCCAGGTGACAATGCTTCCGGCCAACAGCTGGACCAAGCTTAGCCCTCGTTGTCAGGCCTTAGACACACACACATTCATACTGCCCTCCTCTCATTAGGACCTCTCACACTCCACCCCCTCTTACAGGGTCTCTTTCACACATCAACAACATGTACCGCTTTGCTCCCTCTCGGAGTGGGCCCCTTTGGCCATAGGCTTTATGTAACACACACCTTGGGTGGCAGACGTACCATCTTTTGGGCCTCTCCTGTGACCCTCACTGAAGTAGTGGCCAGCCAATTACCTGACAGGGGCCAAGCTTGCCCTGGCCTCTCCTGGGCCAACTCTATACAAACTCACACACACACACTCCAGGCTCCCAGCCCTCTGGTTCCCCCCTCACTGGGGCTCCCCATCTCCACCCCTCACTGGGGTCGCTCCCTCACTGAGGCTCCACATCTCCACCCCCTCACTGGGGCCACGGGGCTTCCCTCCCAGGTGGGGGCTTAGGTGGCTGTAGCTGTGCCTGGCCCCATCTGGGTCTTGCACCCTCTTTGGGCTCAGATGGCCATAGCCATGCCTGGCCCCCTTGTACCCACAGAATTGTGGGGGCTAGGGGTTAAGGCACCCTGACCGGCCTTTCACTAGGGTAGTAACTGGCCTGGTATTTCCTGGGGGCTCCCATACCACTGGGAGCCCCACCAGGCCACCCACTCCCAGCAGGGTGCAGTTTTGGTCATGCCCAGGACCAGGAGCCTCCAAACAATCCCCTTAAGCTCCTTCCCTTACCTCCAAGATGTTTCTGCAACAGCCTTTCAACCAGGGGATGTTTCTGCCTGCCTGCCAGCAGCAAACTGCTCTGTTTATATAGGCGGCCAGAGTTCTAAAATGGCCACTGTAATCAAGCACCTGCTGGCTGTTTGGCTCAGCCCTTAAAGTGGCAGGCACCAACAGTGCCCTGCCACAAGCTTAAGTGAAAAGATCTCATGGGAAACAGTATCAAAGGCCTTGCTGAATTCTAGATAAATGATGTCAACTTCATATCCCTTGTCCAGCTGGTTAGTTACCTGATTGTAAAAGGACACCAGGTTTGTTAGGCATGACCTACCCTCAACAAAGCTGTTCTGGTTGCTTCTTATTACCCCTCCAGTTATAAGCTTATGGATGATGGCCTCCTTGGCAATTTTTTCAAAGATTTTTCCCAGGACCGAGGTTAGACTGACCGATCTGTAGTTTGCAGGGTCGTCTCTCTTCCCTTTCTTAAAGATAGGTACCATATTAGCCCTCTTCCAGTTGTTCAGGACCACTCCCAAGTTCCATGACTCTTGGAACAGCTTTGCCAGAGGCCCTGCTATGAGCTCAGCCAGTTCTTTCAGGACTCTCGGATGCAGGTCATCTAGCCCAGCAAACTTGAACACATCCAAATGTTCTAAGAGTACCCTCACCTGTTCGGGACTGATTTCATGTGGACTGTTATCTTCCCCATATTCCCTGGGCCTCTAAACAGGTGAACAACTCCTGTCTGATTTCAGGAACACCGAACTGAAGTAAGTATTTAGGAGCTCTGCCTTTTCATGGAGATCAACTGTGGGCTGGCCCCTCCCGAATTCAGTCAGGGTCCCACAGTGGAGCTTGATTTTTCTTGCTCCCTATGTACTTATAGAAGGACTTTTTGTTGTCCTTTATTTCAGTTGCCAGCTTGATCTCCATGCCTGCCTTGGCTTTCTGTGTCTCATACCTGCAGACCCTGGCTGTATGATTGTACTCCTCTTTGGATGCTGAACCATTTTTCCATTGCTTATATGCTTCTTTTTTCTTTTTCAAAAGTTCCCTGATATCCCTGTTAAGCCGAGCGGGCATTTTAGTCCTTTTCCCACTTTTTGACCATGTGGGGATGGCCTCTTTTTTAACAGTGAGTATTGCCCCCTTAAGGAAGCTCCACCCTGAGCTCCCAAATCATTCAGTTGCTAGTCACAGAGGGCCTTTCTAACTACACTCCTGAGTTTACCAAAGTCTGCCCTTCTGAAGTTTAGGACTTCTGTTCTACTGGCTGAATTCCCAGCCTTTCGGAGGATGGTGAGCCTAATCAGGTCATGGTCACTGTCACCCAGAGTACCTCCAATCTTCAAGTCCCCTACCATGTCTTCCCCTTTGGTCAGCACTAAGTCCAGAGTGGCTTTACTCCTAGTTGGTTCTTCCACAGCCTGTGTCAAGAACGGGTCATCAATAGCTGCCAGGAAGTTGGTTGACCTGATGGAGCTGGCTTCCAAACAGATGTCAGGGTAGTTGAAGTCACCCATGACAATCAGGTCTTTAGTGTTGGCTGCCTCAGTCAGTTCCCTGGAGAATTCCTGATCACTCTCATCTTCTTAGTTTGGAGGCCTATAATATACTCCTACCATCAGGTCCTCCTCTCCTGAGCCCCCTTGTGTGCAATCTACCCTCTCTCCCCCAGACATGCCTGGTTTAAAACCCTCCTCAGCAAGTTGGTGATTCTTGTAGAGAAGAGCTTCTTCCCTCTGCCTGTGAGGTGAATACCTTCTCAAGCATGTAGACCAGTGCCGTTGAACTCCATGCCAAGGTCGAGGAATCCAAAACCAATATGGTGATACCATCTGTGAAGCCTTCAGTTGATTTCCTCAATGCACTCCTCCCTCTAATAACAAAGGCCTCTAACTGAGAGTATTGAGGAGAAGGTCACTTGTGCTCCTAGTTCCTTGAGCTTTGCCCCCATAGACTCCCTCCCATCTCCCACAGCACGGACCCCAGCCACACAGACACTAGCCATGTGATATACTAGCTAATGCTGAGAGGTGTTTGTGTGTGTGTGTGTGTCTCCAATTTCACTGGGACAGGACAAAGGCAGACAGGACAAAGCCACTTAGGGCTTTTTGGAGCTAATCAATAGGTCAGCTGATAATGTCTCTCCATTTCTTCCTTGGAGAGAGCTGTCTAAGCAGAGCTTGAACTAATGAGAGAGGCTTTTGTGTTCTTGATGGGCTGCTAAACACTGTGTTATCAGCTCCCTTCTGGCTCCCTCACCTGTCAGGTTTGCTGCAGACAGTATGAAGAAGCAGGGAGAGGGAGATTGAAAAGCTCAGTATCATCAACAGATGCATACACTGCACACAAGCAGTCCTCCCTCCCCACCCACCCCCCTTTGCCTCAGAGTGCTAGCCAGGGGCTAGGGTCTGACAACATTCCCACCCCTTGAGCAAGAAGCAGGGAAAAGCCTGGGACTTTGCAAGCAGGGTGGGGATTTAAACCCCTCCCTAATCAGAGCATCCTGCCAGGGCCTGGCTATGCCCCCCGCCCCCCCCCAGTCAGCACTGTAGAATGGAAGGGAGTGCTGCTTTAACACCCCTTGGCTTCTAGCCTGAGCCACTGCAGGCATGTGCCTACATTTCCTCAGTCCAGAGGGAATGTCTATGCAGGCAGGGTAGACTCACTTGCAAAGATTGAATCAATTCAGGCTCAGGCTTTTTGAATGTCTGTCCCTAGCCGTCCTGTGAAAATTCTGATAAGTTTTACAAGAACAAACCAAAAAAATCCCCTGGTTTTATACATCAAACTTATCTTCTAGAATGAACCACAGAAAATAATGGCATCTATCTTCGAACTGAAAACAGATACTCAGAATTTTCCATTGCTAAGAGAGCAGAATTTGTCCCAATATTTTCAACTCTTTCACTACCTTAAGTAATGCAGATCTGTGAAAATGAGATGGTAGTGGTCCAGGGCCTGTAGTGGCTCCATGTCTTATAACTGTAAGATAATTCTTCTAATTCTAAGATTTCTTAAAGCTAACAACTAGACTTATTGCTAGAAATGGTGTCACACAAGTATCATATGTGTGTAGTTGTTACTTTTGGTTGACTAATTACTCTAAGACATTTCCTTTAGTAAATGATGTGATTTGGTTTCAGATGCAGCCAGCAACATCTCAGCTTGCAGTGAAAATGGAACCTCATTTACCTCACTCATGTCATACATACAAAGATACAAACATACACTTTTTGCACCAGAGATGAAGTCACAATTAGCCCAAACAATTAGCCCTGAAGTTTTGTTTTCTTGTTTTTTAAAAACCCAGCATTTACCAGCAGATTAAGGTTTTACAACTGTCATTTGATTCCAGTCACCTAGATATTCAAAGTGCAAGTTACAATGTAATTTGATAAGCTGTAGAAGCAATCTATTATCTTCCCTATCTTACTCCTCTCTTCCTGGTGTGAGCTATATGGCAACCCAACTGCTGCCATTGATTTAAATGTAATTGTGGATATTCAGGACCTGACTCTGCTTCTCCTCAGCAGGATTTCCTTGGATGTTATTATACAAAGGATGACATCAAAGGAACAAAAATTTAATAAAAGATGTTAAAACTGGATCTAACTCAAGTGTGTCATGAGCAGCTGCATACTGTCTTAAATTAAATGGGATATTCTGGTTTGTATTTGAAAGTACATTTAATATTTTCCTTTATCCTCCAACTGTTTGCAAACATGGCTCACTAATGTAGGCCTGCACCCATTTGTTCAAGTTATCTAACATTTGTCTCAAGACTCACCTTCAAGACTGTCTTCCCCTCCATCCCATTGTCTTTCAAACAAACGATAATGTAATGATTTATCATATATAGTATCTAATATCCCTTGCCTGAGCACTCTGTAACACCTAATTTTAAAAAATTGCAAAATGTTGACTATGATATGCTCACAGTAGTCATAGCACTTACTGTTTAAACTAAGTCAATATTAGCACAGCAAAACCATAACATGAAAGAGCATCATGCAAATATTGAAACGACTGCTTTTTGTGAGCCTACTAAACTGGTTATACTTAAAATTTTCTGAAAACAGGCAAATTCAATGAAGGAACTTTGCCATTTATTGTGGTGGTGATGACTTGGAAGAAGCATGTAAGAATACTTCAATGCAAACAGAAGTTAGCTAACGTTACAATTCTTAAAAAGTGTATATAAGCATAGTGAGAAGAGACTGTGACAGCAGTTTCTTCTGTGAAAGGCAACTCTGTATTATGACAGCAGAATTTTTCTATTCAAGAAGTGCACACAAAAAGAAAAATCCAGAGGGAACAATAAATATGTAGGATATCATAAAGATGTAAAGGCTAGTGGAGCAGACTTGCTTGGTTTAAAAAAAAAATAGCATTATGCTGTGCCATGTCTGTGTCTTTGACTTCACATTAAACATGCTCAGCTTAAAGGTAAAAATTCCTCCCATACCTAACCGCATACCCTGCAAATTCACCCTTGCATCTGAAACTCAAGCTGTGTCCCTTCTGGCTTGTACATAACAAGTAATAAAGATTATGTATGTCTACCATGCCACAGTTTGCCCTCACATAACACATTTTGCAACAATAGTATTTGCTATTCAGTAGCACAGAAATAAATAAGGGCAGAATTTATTTAGCCCAGTAATTGGAATTAGTTAATAATTTTGCTGATGATGTTAAAGTGAGTAAGTTCTGGCTCCCTCCCCCACACCTATTTTAGATGTATAGTGCTAATTAAAGTCAAACTAGTGCATTGCAGTAACTCCAAAAGCAGATTTGTTGTGTAAGAACCTGCCATTTGTACAATCCATTTTCAGAGCTGATTTTAAGTATTTGAGTCCCATCTGCTTTTTTATACTATTGTTGATTGTTGCACAGGTATCCTTACACATTAATCTTGCTGCTGTAGCCTGATCTTAAGTCAGCAAAGGATCATACTGCTGCTTTAACTCCTTGAGGGATTTTCTAAGGATGTCCTATTTCTCTGTGCTTGGTTTACGTTATTGTGACCGTCAGGGTTGGTATCAAGTTACTAGTATGGGAGTGACCATGCCAAGAAGGCACTGAGCATGCCCAGGATAAACTGTTTTTAGAAGCCTGAATAGGCACAGCTCGAGTTGGGGGCCTACTGCATTAATAAAAGTTCTGAGCCTCCTTTCCAGCTAACCTATCTCTGAAGTGTTAGCTAAACATGGCTTACATTTGAGAGGGGAATTGTTCCTTCCAAAATGGTGTCCCACTTGATTAACTGGTCTTTTAGAGCTTGGCTTTTTTAATAGTGCAAGACAGGAATGAGATTCTTAAATTGGTTTGCTGTGGAGTTGATTTTTTCCCTTTAAAAGTTGGAAAATTTCAAAAGAAACAAATAACGTGATTTTTGTTTTTAACCAGTTCTATCCAGGGCTTAATGTAAAAGCAGGGGAAGATCGATTCACCTTTTTGGTGGATGTAGTAAAGTTCCCTCAGGTGAAGACTCTAAATGTGAACAACTAGTGCACCTCGTCCTTGGCTGAGGAGTTCTTCAAACTCTAGCATTTCTTGCCAACAAGTACTGTAGCAGCATCTGATGGGGAAGAAGTGGTATCCCAGGGGGGAAATTCCTGCTTATCTCTCCTTTCTGAAGGAAGATGTGTGCCTCCCTTTGACAGTCTATTGCTCCAAGGGGAGAAGTAAGAAACTTTGACTATGCTCAGATCTCCAAGTGAAGGCATGGTTTAAACAGCAGAACAAATTAGCATAGAAACTACTGATTCCTTCTCTGCTTTTTTCAAAACTTTTCTGGGCAAACTTCTATGCAGAAACCTCAGTTATATTATGTCAATACTGATCCTCCATGTTAGAAAACTCAGTGTGGTTCATCAGGGATTTGTCTATATCAATCTCTGTACTATGCAGTTATTTAATATTTTATTTTTTCTCTGTCTGAGGGTCCCCTTCAGTACATAAACTCTTTTAGGATTTCTCCTGTCTTGTCCCCATTCTCTTTCCTCCACTGTCTCCGACCATCATAAGATGATTCACGACCACATCAGTATATGACATTGTGACCTTTGCTGACAGTCTAGCTATTGATTTCTAAGTGCCAGAATGAAATGTTTCAGGGGTATACTTGGTAGCTGTGTTGGTGAAATGTTTGCATTTGTAGACTGAACTGGAAAGGCATTTATAGCTCTAATGTAACAAAATCCCCAAAAGAATACAAACAGTGCAAATTCAGTATTCACTATAATCTTTGATACTTCTGAAGTGATAGAAAGCATTGAACTCTAACACACACTACATTTCATTATATGAACTGGGCTGCTACAGTACAGGTACTGTAATTTGATTTAGAACTGCAAAATGGTTTTGAATCCCATTCCAAAGAGCAAAGCCTTTTCAAGTCTGCTGTATTCCACTCAGTTCTCCTCTGTACTGAAAGCATGTTCATTGTAAAATGGGAGACTTGATTCCACTGTCTTTAATTTTACACATAATGTATAATGAAAAGTTATTCAGTTTAAAACGCACCAGTTTTAAACTGGTGGCGGTCCAGTTTAAAACAATGGCAGTGGTCTTTCATGTTCACACGTGCAATAATGAAGAGTGTGAGGTGGTGACTTAATGTAGAAGTTTATATTGTAGCTGAATTTCCTGCCCAGTGTTATAAAAATGTTAGAGGCCTCATCATATGATAGCAGCCAGTACTTTTGGATGTATACAGTGATATTTCAAGTTGTGATACTATAACTTTTAAATTGATTAGTGGGATTTGCCATGTACCATAAATGCATTGGGAATATTTCAGACTAAGACCCTCAAATTGCTTGAAGTTAATGGAAGTTTTCTGGTTTGCTGTGCTCAGGCTCCAACCCAACATATTAGTGAAGACCAGTTCCCCACAACTGCCATCTGGCTTTATCCATCACAGTAGTGTCTTTCTTTATAGTCTAATTTTGGCTTGAACTATATCCAGTGCCTAGACAGTTTGAGTGCAAGAGTCCAACCAGATGAATTATGAGTTAGTATTTTCATTGTTTTCCCTCCCTCCAGTGTCCTCCAAAGCCAATAGGGCAGGATACTGTCCTCTAAGCAGTAGAGCCAGGACTTTTTATCCTGTGCTGTAAGCCTAGTAGACACATTCAGTTTACAATCTCCTTTTTCTTTTGACACCAGGAACTGCTGCTGAGATATCTCTGAACATAAAGCACCAATTCCTGTGTATCTGGATGACAAAGCACTGAGTTTAGAACTTGAATTTGGATCCTCTGCACAGTAACACCATTCACCAGCACTGAACAAGACCAAATTTTGTGTGTTTTACATTGGTAAGAAATAAGCAATGCCTATTCTGTACTGAATTGTATATGATGGCAAAACTCCTAGCAAGCTTATAAACCAGATAGATTAAACACACATGCTGTATCAATTTGAACTCAAATAAGAAACAATTTATTTAACTAGATCAAGACACTAAACAGATTAAGTTAATTCTGAAGTCCTTATTAATAAAACAACCCCATATTCATACTGAATAATACCATTTAATGGAATGGCTGACGCTCTTGAGGCTACATCTACATGGCAGTTTGGAGGTGTGACTATAGCATGTGTAGCCATAGCTGAGGTAGCTTTAAACCAGCTAGACTGGCTATCAAAAGTAGTAAAGGTACACAACATCAAGTTACAGGCAGGCTTGTTTAGCCCAAGCATTTACTCAGGCATTTCCTAGATGTTTGGAACAATGTAAACAGTTGATCCATGTTCTGTTCTAATATTAGGAATTGCTCTGGGATGCCTACAAGCTCTTAATCTTAGATGCAATTTTTAAATAATTTATTTTTAGATATTCAGCATCATAAAATATCATTGGGAGTTTGAATTATTGTTGACTCATTTAAAATTTTGAGTCTATTTGTAGGCTCATAACTATCAGTTCTCAATGGCAATGAGTATTCCTCCATGGTATTTAGAACAGTCATGCAGTCTGATGTGGGTTGGTTCCCTTGGCTCAGCTCAAAGTTGCTTCATATTGTATGTATGATCTGAGTACATGATAAAATGAGAAAGAAATAGTGTAAATACTGAGTTAGTGTTATCTGTAAAGAGCTTTAAAAATCCTGTATAACAAAAGGGGTTTTATAAATAAATTGCTGTTCACCAAACTTATTTCATGAAACAAGAACATTTTAATTGTTGTCCTATGGGATGACATTAAAATACTTTTATTCAAACATGTTTCCTTTCAACACAATCCAAACGAATGCTGGTAATGTAAAATATCCAAATCCTCACTATTAATTAAGGCCTGGTCCTGACATTCTTGCACACCTAAAATTTCCAAGTATTTTAATGGAAGTTTAGGGTCAACAAGAAATGCTGATTTTTTTTAAATGGAGTGTCCTTTTTATTTTGCTTGGATGAACAATTTGAAAAACCCTGATTTTTTCAGAAGTAAAAAAGTGCTAATAGCTCTAAGGTCAGGAGAAACTTTGGGTATTCAGTCCCTCCAGAAA